CGAATAAGGAATAAAATGGCTCTTAAAACGATGCCCTGCGTCCGTATGACTGTAAAGTAACAGATGTTGCTGTTTTCTTAATGAATTTTGATTGATTACATTCCATCGTGCATTAGAACACTTCGGTTAAATAATTACTAACATTAAATTTGGTAGTGCTCATTTATGGGCTTATTAGTGAATGGGGGCATTCATTTTATTCCTTTGGCGGTTATTCAATAGAAACATTACCATAAATGGGGGTTATTGACTTACTCTGGTTTGTTTGCATGTAATACTTGCACAACTTTTGCGACTCTGCCTAATTTGTTCTTGCGATGACGAATCGGTGCCTTGTACTGTTTCGTTTTCGATTTTTGTTGTAGGCTTTCAAGAATTTTTGAAACGCTAACGGATGGCACGTCCGCCATTTCTGTTTTGAGAAAAGCTAGAGAAAATTCTCATTTCACAACACTTCAATTTCGCAACGAAAGTAAATTACATAGCTAGTTATTGTTCAAAATGTGTAAACGATGTTAGGTTAATTTTTATCCCTGTCACTTTGACAGAGACGGAAACTTCGTGTACATTTCAAGATGTCTTGAACATCAAACAAGTGAAAATAAAATGTGACAAATGTCAAAAATGAAATTAATAATGCAGGGGTATCTTGTGTACCTACCTAAGTAATTTTTTTTAGAATATTTTAAGAAAAATTCAAATGATCCTATCGTCTTATTCAAAAGTCCCAAACGGATTTCAAATTCGGCAAAAATAGATATCCATTTCCTCCCCGCGTGTAGCGAGAAACGAAATTTTCAACAGAGTTTCCAAAATTTAAGAAATCTTCCACAACGCTACCAGCCCCCTCCAATCACCAAAGCCCCACCGACCACGCACAGAAAAGTAGCCTCAGTTCTGAATTTTGGGAAATAAAAAGTTTCTCACAGTCATCCAAAGTCAGACTGAGGTAGGGCAAAACCGTTACTATAACTAACTACAAGTCCACAACTCCTTCCAGTAGAACAGAAAGGACAAATCTAAAACGAACTTCGTTGGAGAACCTTTGCAGACTCTCCAATAAAGGTGATCGAACATCAACTCTGATGCCTTAGGTCATTAACCATTATCGGAACCTGGCCAATTTATTGCCATTAACATTGTATGTTTGTAGATCATACATTCTAATCTCATTTATTGTTAATACATTTTTATCAATAAATCCCAAATTGTTACAATTTGAAAGGTTGTTAAAAATGTTCATAAATTTTTGCGAGCATATGTTTTTGGTCTAGACCTCACTTTTAGCGCACTAACCACTTAAGCCGTGTAAAAATCTGCAATGAAGGGCCCACGGGGTTTTCAAACTCCTAGAAACCCAAACCATAGGTTCTCTCAAGAGACTTACAGAAGCTCTAAGAAGCTTCCAAATTTTTAGATATTTTCCAAACAAAAATAATACCTAAAATATAGTGATATAGACACAAGACACAAGAGTATTCATACTCGAAGAACCCAAAACATTTTAGTCCACTAGGTTCTGTTGAGAGCCTCCAAACCCCTGCCATCCCAAGGAAGTATCTAGAGTGGAAACAGGCGAATAAATTAGAGCGTGGATCTTATACCTAAGTAGGTAAAACACCTCGGCGCAGTTGGCGAACAAAAAAAAGGGCGACGTCCTCAACCTCAAGCGTCTTTGAGACTGACTTGATGAAGAAGGCGTCCGTTGCCTTTTTACAGGTGAGCAGGAACCAAAAATCCCTGCATAGCATGTGAATATTCAGGATCTCTTTTCCAAGGACATTTAAATTTCGCAATAATAGAGGTAGGGAAAAAGTAATTCCCCGACACTATGTCCTAAACCTAAATGACTTGGTTTTTGAAATACCAAATATAGGAGTTACATTTTTTGACACAAAAAATGTTAGTAAACTATGGATAATCCAGATCAATTAGGAAAATAAAGTAATTTGAAATCAACCTGCTGATGTGCTGACAATAATTTTTTTTAATAACTTAATAAATCAGTTGAAATATCAGCTGATGGCCGATTCCATCTCAAATCAATGCAGAGCTCCATGTGGACCTGTCACCAAGCTACTCCAAAATATTTTTTTATTTTTCTAGGTCAAAAATAAGAGGACCCCTATTTTTTCTTTTTCCTCTCAGGCGCTGAAAAGAAACATTTAAAAAAATTTTCCGATTGCAATTTGATTGCTTATTTTTTTATTTTTTGACACACTAAAATAATTCTTATTTTACCTGATAGAGGGAATGCAGCCCTTCATATCTACCTTTTAAAAAATGTGAATAAATGTTCGGCAGAAAATGCATTTTTTTTCAAAAAGTGCATCTTCGAAAAAAAATTGATTTTGGAGATTCTTAATACCAATACCATCAAATCTATCTTTCTGAAATTTGCGGTTTTTGCTTTTTATCGCATAAAAATAAAAAAACTACAATAACATGTGAATAAAATAAAACATTCATTTCTATTCAATTATATACAAGGTGTCGCGCTTAAATGTATTACAAGGCTGTAACTTTTTTATTTTTTGGCCGATTTCAAAAATTTTTATTTTAGAATGTAGGGTAAAAAAAATCTCTATCTGCTGTTTTTTTATTAATGCAATACACGGCCAACTAGTGTTCGCCTGAAGATGTATCGAATTTGATGAAACTTGGTCATAAGACATTTTAGGGGATGCTGAATGAGAATACATAATCTGTTTTTTGGAAAAAAATCGTTAATACCAATTAGCTGTTTTGACGTTAAAAAAAACGCGTCCAAGTTGGCCGTGTATTGCATTAATTAAACAGCAGTATCACAGTTAGATAGATTCTTTTTTACCCTACATTCTAATATAAAAATTTTTTAAATCGGCCAAAAAATAAAAAAGTTACAGGCTTGTATTACATTTAAGAGCGACACCCTGTATATAATTGTATAGAAATGAATGTTTTATTTTATTTACAGGTTATGGTATTTTTTTTTTATTTTTAAGTTTTGTGCGATAAAAAGCAAAAACCACAAATTTCAGAAAGATAGATTTGAAGGTATTGGTATTAAGAATCCCTAAAAAAAAATTGAGAGCAAAGAAATATGGCCTTTTTGAGAGAAACAAATTTTTTTCGAAGATGAACTTTTTTGAACAATTGCATTTTCAGCCAAACAATGCATTTATTCACATTTTTGAAAAGGTAGATTTGAAGGGCTCCATTCCCTCTATAAGGCAAAATAAGAATTATTTTATCGTGTCAAAAAATAAAAAAATAACAAGTAATCAAAATGCAATCGGAAAATTTTTTTAAATTTTTATTTTCGGCGATGCAATTTCCGAGTACATAATAGACGGAACTATGCTCCTGAGAGGAAAAAAAATAGGGGTCCTCTTATTTTTGACCTAGAAAAATAAAAATATATTTTGGAGTAGCTTGGTGACAGGTCCACATGGAGCTCTGCATGATTTGAGATGGAATCGGCCTGGTACTAAATTTGGTTTTGGTTTTTGATAATTGATTATCCATATTTATAGAAGGTGACAAAAATAGGTTACATGGAACCCCATATGAGTCATCAATAACCAAAAATGTGTGTACCAAATTTGGTACTCATCTTTAAGTTGGTTTAAAAGTATTTAAAAACATACATTTTTAATAATAGGTCTTCTTCAAATTATTAGGTGTATCTATGGCAAATAGGCAACCAGCAATACATTGTTATAGATTCTATTACCTACATAGTTTGTCTAAATATGAATTATTGCACAAATAACAGATGCTGCTTGTTCAAAAGCGGCAAATTACAAATTTCTTTAAAACAAAAAGTAATTTAAGTTTCAAACCAACTCCATTTTATAGAAAATTTGCATTAGAATGGAGGAAAGTCTGTTATTTGAGTTAGACAAACTGTGTAATAAAATCTATAAAGGTGTATTGCTGGTTGCCTATTTGCTATAGAGCTCTCTCAAGAAGGCCCATGGTTATTTCGAACTTTTTGTGTTAGTTTTAACCAAGGAATAGACGTTTGGCAGTCGAATTAAGGAACATCCTGTATAATAATTATTAGACAAATATCTCTAAAGGTATTTGTCATAAACTAAAAGTGATATTTTTTGCTTTTTCCATCTTTGGATAGAACTAAATCGAAAGTTAACCCTTAAATACCCCCTAAATTTGCCTCGGGACTCAAGGTCAGTCACAATTAGACCATAAATCATGACCACAGTAGTTTGTACGGAATTTGCCAAAAAAATTAATCAACCTTTTTCAATTGGAGGTCATGCTGCAAAGTTATTCGGGGTGATCGATTAAAATGGGACACCCTGTATAAATAGGCAATAACTCTAAACTACTTGTTGGCTTTAGATGCAATTTTGTTATTAATAGTCTTAAAAATATATTAAGCATAGAAATTTAAAACTTTTTGAAGGGTTTCTATTCCGACGATTTCTTTGAACATTTGATGGCATCGAATTTAAAAGTATATTTATAACCAAAAATGCCTATGGATTTCTTATAATTATGTACTGCAAATTTATTCAACTATATGATAAGTTCATCTTTGTTTTAACTAAAAAAATAACTAACTCGATTGGATTTAAGATTTTTTGTAGAAAGTCTTCTGGTGAGTAGCGAAAAACATGCTTTATTGTTTTTGTTTAAATTATTATTACACAAAGATATGCTCGTATACTTACCTCAAATGTTTAAAAAGCTCATATTTTCTTTACCGCGTGTTACCTTTCGAAACCATTCTACTACACTACATTTTATTTGTAGCAGTGCGCTTCAGAGGAAGCTGTATTTCCAAAAAAAAAAATAAAAATAAATATCGTACTCGACATTTATCGTTCAAATTATTTCCTATTTAAAAAAAAAATCATGCAAAACTAAACTTCGCCTTATTTTTTTAAAGTTTTTCTTGTTTCTGTTATAAGGTACATACCAATCATGATACCAATTTTATAATTTAATTATTATTATTATTATAATTTATTATTGTGGCAATGAAAAATTGCTCGATGGGTACTTTTTATTTAATAATAAATTTGATCTTTACATCCTTAACAAAGCCTCTTAGCGAATAATAAATACAATTAAATAACTCCTAACTAAAGAAACTAAACAGTTTCTATGTCGTCCTTGTTAAGTTGTTCTGCTATAAAAGAGGTTTCCTCGGATACTGTTGTCGCAACTGACATATTTAAATCTTTCGCTATCGCATTTTCGCTGGATGTCGAAGGTTCGGGTTCAATCACAGTTCTTGGTGTTTGTGGTCTTAAATAAAAGGAACAAAATCAATGGGAGACAAAAAAATAATTAATTATTCTTTCGATGTTTCAAATTGTCAAAAAGTATAAATTAATAAAAAATAGTAGTAAATGTATGTCACTGTCTTATATTTAATTTTGTACAAAGTTGTGCAATAATTATGTACTAAAGAATCAAAGAAGTCATTGACCTTAATATTACAAAATCTAATAGGATTCTCATTCAGTAACCCAAAAAAAGAACATGCTTGGAGGAGATTTTCAGAAAGCAGTTATAATATCGAAATTAATTACGGAAAACATCTATACAACATTCAAAATGAAAATATAAGGTATAAAAAATATTTCAAGTTTTATTATAATGATAATCAAAGGCCATAGTCGTATAAGTCATGATGAAAATAAATATTTGATATTTTCAGACATAGTCAATGTAAATCACCACTAAAACCGAGATATAGTGGGAGTCACTAAATTGGAATAAATTCAGTAATCAAAGACAAAATTGTTTAGAAAAAAATGCCGAGACACTTGGATTGGTATTATAAGCTGCAGGGTGTCCCAACCAGGAGATATGACATTAAGGATTTTTTTAATGGCAACCCTAGCTTTTTGTGTGCTTTTTTTTGGGGGTGTATAAAGTTATACATCACTACCAAATTTGAAATATTTATTCCAAATCGTTCTTACTTAAAGATTTTTTTTATAATTTCGTAACAAAAGCTGGGACGCGTGGTAATTTATTTGTTAATTCTTGGAACAGATGGGCCAACTCAGACAGTAAAATATTTCGCTCAACACGAATTATTGAAAAATTAAGAGTTTTCAAGTAGGTTCAGCGTCGCCACAAAGCCGTCCTTCGGGGAAGGCCTCATGAAATTTAGCAATGCTTTTGAACAAGTTCACTTAGACCGTCGGGGCGATGTGTTAAGCATCTGGTATCAAGGAAAAAATCGATATTTCTAATAACGCGCGAAATTAATTTGAAAGGACGTAGGAATTACAAGATATTTAAATAAGTTGTTAGGAAGCGATGAGGAAAAAAATAATAATAGATCAAATAGCTGGTTTTTAGGCGGATTTTCCAAGCTATAAGAATAGATTAAACGAGATTGACTAATCCATCCCGTATTGCTATACGGAGTCACAAGAGAAAGGTGTAGGGTTATTTGTAAGTTTAGTCTCAAAATTATCCATACAATCTCTGAAAAAAGGCAGTTTCTCCTTGGGTTCCACATTGAGCAGTGTACTTAGTTTTAGAGTCTCGGGTTAATTTAATAATGGATGAAGTCTATCCAAATTTTGCTATGGATCTAGCATTCCCTGAATTTCGGTATGCTGTCGAGTGTAAATTAATTAATTAATAATGTTGTTTGAGCCTGTTGTGTCATTATTTTGTTTGTTTGTTTGTTTGTTGTTTTTATTGTTATTAAAACCCTTCCTAGAAGGTTTTGGTGTTTCTTTTTGTTCTTCCAATTTCATTGTCACCTTGTACAGCCAGTCACTGGATTACATTCTACGTAAGTAATGGATGGTAAGTGCCTGAAATTCATTCTCTGAACGTACAACATTTCTAAGTTCCCACATATTAATTAAAGTGTAATTATAATTATAAACTCCCTTTCGAGAAGTAAATGGTAAATTCTTTTGCAATATCGTTATGATACTGGTCATAATGGTAGGTGGTTAAATAAAAAAATAACCCCTCAGGTTACAATTCCTGTAATTTTAAAAAATGTTAATTCCAATTTCAATTAACTACCGTTCATTCCAAAATACTAAACTGAAACAAATTAATTAACACACATTTAAAAAAATTACATAAATGGTACAATAATCTTCAACTTGCTGTATATTGGCAGTAACTATGAACAGATATATGAAATTTAGTGACATATAATTTTATACGGCCTTCAAAAAAAAAATACAAAAAACTATTGTTGCCATTTAAACCAATCATCGATAACATCATCTCCTGGTTCATACACACTGTATATTCTTTTTTATAAAAAAGTAGCTTAAAACTAGTCAATAAAGCATATAAATAGTGTAATTTATAATCCAATGAATACCATCCAGTTACACACACAAAATTAAAAGATAAAGAATACGAATAGATTCCATGGGGATCAAATAACCACTAAATGACCTGTAGAATATTGTATCCCGTATATTAAAAATATTTATATACAGTGTAGGAAAGTACCGATGGTCTATCAGAAGCTACGTGAGAGCGATAAAGTAAGCCATAGAAATCCATGTGATAGACAAGGATGGCTATAATGAAAGCGTCTAATAGTCAACGCCCATTTCGCCCTTCCACAAATAAGAAGTGAATCTTATTTGTGGAAGGGTGAAATGGGTGTTGACTATTAGACGCCTTCATTATAGCCATCCTTGTCTATCACATGGATTTCTATAGCTTACTTTATCGCTCTCACGTAACTTCTGATAGACCATCGGTATTTTCCTACACTGTATAATATAATAAATGTTTTAGGAAAGTTTGAAACTATTTTTATAACAGGTGTTCCGGAACATTTGACAATGTCTAAAAGTTTAATACAATTACTTCCATCATGACCAAACAAATTCAGTAGAGATTTCATTCAGACAGATAAAATATAACAGACTTCTGATTACCTTGGCAAAATAGTAATTTTCGGTGCCATATCTATAACCGAATTAGGTGCTTTTTTGATTAGTTCCAAAGGTATCTCTTCTGACCTCGGTCTTGGCATACGTGGAGACCCTTCCCTCGATCTAACTCTATTTGACGAGCTATCTCTCGAACGGTTGTCTTTTCTACCGTTTTCTTTTTTTAGGTTAGAAATACGATTTGGGCTCTCACCTTCACGGAGTCTTCGGGAATCGTCCGCTCTGTGCACGACCCCTGGCGAGCTTTCCCTCCTGGGAGCCGCAAAACCCGGTCCTCGGGACACGTTAAACAGAGGTCGGTTCTCTCTGGTGCCCCGACCTGCAGACCTCGGACCGTACAAGCCCTGACCGGCAAATGCCGGGCTGGGGGGTCCCGATTGGCCGGGGATTTCAAGTAGGCGGGCGATGTGCTGCATTTTCTTTTGACGAGCTTTTATCCTTCCCTAAAATAGGGTAAAATTATCATAATATCAATAATAAATAACTAAAAGTAAAACGAAAATCAATAAAAAATGGGCGTTACAGCCTTACTGAAAATAATGTATTTTTTAAACAATAAGCACTTCATGAGGCTATGATTTGAAATGAAATGACAAAGTCCAATATGTCCATAAATAAACTTCTTAGTAACTTCATTTTGGAATAATTGTTAATTATTTCTTTTAGTTTGATACACATTTGCAAATGTTGATAAATACGAATAATAACATCTTCATTATCAAATAGTATGAAATACACTGAATTTTTCAACTAGCATCAATGAAATACACTGAATTTCTCAACTAGCATCAGAGTCAAAAATCAATTGGATAAGATCAGGTGATCTAGGAGGCTAAGCACTTGGTCCTTCAGGTCTGATCCGTTCATTGGGAAAGTGATGTTTTAATATTTAATAAGGGCATTTTTCTTGGAACATTACTTTTGTACTTCATTTCAAACTACAAGTTAAGTTTTCCTTTTTTGTACATAAGAATTAAAAAAAATTAAGAAAATAATGTGGGAAAAATGTAGATTCATCGGAAAACTCTTTAAGAGAGCTGTTCAAAATAGTATAAAAACGATTACTATCCAATTCAAAAAATCTCTGATGATGTCACAGCTTCTACGTCATTCACACCTTATACAGTATGGCACACAAAAACCAGAACCGTCTAAATTTTGTCTGAGGCGCATGATTGTAGTGAGTTCTTTTTTAGATATATTATAGCCTTCTGGATGATTTGCTCAACAAATTTCAATGATCTAGTTGGCAATCTAAGGCCTACTGCAATTTTTTTAGATTTTTGAGAAAATCACTTTAGGAATTATTTAATTAAAAATCAGGCTATGTAGACTTATTCAGTATCAAGTAAAACCTCTATATCCAGAATTTCATCAACTTATAATGCAGAATAATGTTTAGAATTTCAAGTTTGTAAGTTTTTGTTTCAGTTTAAAAATCCTGAAAACATTTTAGAAATATCTGAAGTTAAAAAAATTGTTGCACTGGTAATTATAATTGGCAAATAATGAAGTCCATTGATGAGTCTACATCATGAAAATATCAGGTTCAGCCCAAAATTATGAAAATTATGTATATAGCGACCCTTCTATTTACCAGTCATAATCAGCGGGATCAATAAATGGCAAATTTTTCATCACTTCCAAAGCCTCCTAGATTTTTAAACAATAAATTGAAAATTTTAAGTGTGTATGGAAAAATTACTCTGCATTACAAATTAATACAATTTGAGATATAGGAGTTTTAATTAGTGCGAATTAAGGCTATGTAACCAAATTTTTAATAAAATAATCTCTAAATTAATTTTCTAAAAAATCACTACTAAAGAATATCACAGCAGGCAATGGACTGTCAATCATTGTAATTGCTTCAGTAAAAAAAAAAAGAGAGATGTCTTTGTTCTTAAAGGGCTATACTGTATATAAATAAAATTATAAAAAAAATTGGAAAATTAAAAAATTAACGTGTAGTACGTAGTGTATAGGTAGCTCTTTTCCCCAAAAAAAGCTACCTATTTCTATTTTGAATTTGTGCTTTACTCTACTGGTACACTTTATCTAGTACTTAATATAAAATATTTCATTACACATAAATGAAATTCTACTGGAAAGATAATTTATATTTAATAAGCAAATTTTGTATAATTAAATTAAAACTTACAGCAACCAATAATGTGAATACACTAAGTTACTTTTGCAAAGTAGCAACAGATTCCTTGGAATCGTTCTAAATGCTTTCCTTGAAACGGTAAAAATATATTTAACGATCTGTTAATTACCAGACAATGGTTCAAATACACATAACATGAATCATTTTACAAATATTTACCTAAAACACAGATCTTACCTTCGTCAGTCTCTGCTTTGCTGCCATACACCTAATATTATCGTCGAATATGAATTTTGCGTTAAGTAACGGTACTCTGTTAGTCGTTGCTCCGGATATCGGCCTGTGGATGGTAATATGCAAACATCGTGAATCGTCCTTATCCCCAGTCACTTCGATATCTTGCAGGAACCCTACTAATTTCGCCACACCCCAGCCTAGTCGTTTTGTGTCTGGTTCAACCAAAATAAGCTGAAGAATGTCGATCACCAAAAACCTTCTCATTTTTGTGCCGTCCTTCCAGAGAACGGTACAAGCGATCAAGTCCGAATTGTCTGCAAAAAGAAACATTTTCATGAGGGGTATTGTTTGGTTTAATTGCCACTGACTTCAACCAATCACTAGTAATTTTAGTGCAAATACTATCACTGTAGTAGAATTAAAGAATTGACGGATTTATTGCACAACCTACAAATAATGTATGAACTTAAAAATGCTTCTTACTCAATTATTTGTGTATTTTAAATTGTTAACAGATGAAAAATACACAAAATGATTGTATTTTTATTTAAGGGAATAACTAAAATGATTGGCCAAATTTTAACGACAAATAACTAAAAAAAAGTTTCTATAAACAGTGTCTAATGATGCTTCTTTTTTAAGAATAAAAAATATGGTTTATTTCACCAACAAAATTTTATTTATTCGTGGATGACTTGATATTTTTTTGCAATAAGGTATCTCAAAAATGGTACATCCTGGCAACATGTAGGAAGAACATAGATTTGTACAGCTTTTAGTGCCCGAACATACATAATAATGAATCTAATTTGAAATATTTTAGAAAAAAAAATGTACACAAGAAGTTCATTCTTAAAACTAAGCCACTGTATATAAAAATCCTTACAAGAGTAGTTTAGGTTTCTTGATTCTGTATAACTTTTATATAAACTATTTTTCTGTATTATGAGTAACAAGGGAGTTATTTTACTTTCTCACACTAATGGCCCACCCTGTATATTGTTATAAAAGACACTATGTAGATTCTGGATTATCTAAAAATATATTGGATATTCCGTTTGAATAAGTTAGCTACAGTATTTTAATATAAAGTACACTTCATAGTCAACAACATTTTAAAATATGATCCGTCATATGACCCGTTTGAAAATTAAATTTCTGTATATGGAATGGAATTTTGGAATGTTGAATAAGTTCTCGCTGTTTTTTTAGAGAAAGTTAATGCTTTACCTAAAAAATTAGTAAAAAACATGTCACTGAAAGTATTGTCCATCGATAGCCACTACTTTTTCCATCTTTCTGGCAGCATTTCAATTCCATGTCGAAAAAACTACATAATAATAGAAGTGCTGCTCAGCCAGGCCATGTTCCATCGATTGGAACAAGTGATAATCGGAAGGGGCAATGTCTGCTGAATATGGCGTGTGGAGTAGGACTTCCCATTTCCCGTTCCCAAGTAGGTTTCAAAATCACTTTGTTATGTCTTTAATCGTACAGCAGCCATTTTTCCTTCAATGTTCGGCTCAAACACATTAATTGTAGTCGATAGCGATCTCCCGTGATGGTTTCATTCAGTACGAGTAGCTCATAATAAACTACACCTAGTTGATCCTACCAAATGCAGAGTAGAAGCTAGCAGCCATGGATATTCAGTTTTGCCGAAGTTGTAGACAGATAGTTGGGCTTGCATAACGATTTTGTATGCTTAAGCTGTGGTTTCGGTGGTGCGTCAGGCTGCTGCGACTGGGTGTAACTGCTTGTCGCACGGGGTGAATGTTTACAGTGGGGCGTCTAGAAAAGCACGACTCACATCTTAGTTTATATCTGGTCGTTAATGTCTCATTCTTTTATAATTTTTTTTAATTAGGGAAAATGAAAGGAAGATCTTATATATCTGATTTTATTAGAAGATTATGTAGAATAGTTGTTAAAACTATCCTTATTTTAGAAGAGGTGTGACGCCGATGATATATACAAAAAAAGTAAGAAAGAAGGATATTTCAATCTCCTTATTAATGATCATTTGAAAGATGAAAGAAAACTTTGGTAATTTTTCCCATTAAACCCTAAACTGTTTAATTTTGTTTGGGGAATATTTCATAATTAAAAAGGGAGGAATATGTTTGAAGTTCTAATATTATTTCATCTTTATGTGCAGAAAAACGCACCATTTCTCCATTCCTATTGCAGATAGACTGGTCCCATAGGCAGTCGAGTCGTCGACGCTGCGATTCGATCGCCAGTGTTCGTGGCTGGAAAGCCTCACCGTTACCACGTACATCTAACATGCATGAAATCAATAATTCGCACCCAGTGGCAGTCACAAGTCACAGTTGCCAGACGCACCACCGATACCACACCTTTAGGATTATCAGAGCGCATCCATTATTCATTGCCAGTTACAATGTGATGTATTTCCTTTTCTGCCATTGACGCAGCTGTTCACACGTGCAGACGCTGGTCGACGTCTCTTGACTACAACTTGTACAGCATCCAATATCCTTGCCTTTGAATAAATCTTAATGCTTTGAAAGATTTTGAAACTGTTGTGTGATCTACTCATAATGATTTTGCAAATTAATTTATTGTCTTCATGAAGTAATGCCTCATCTTCAAACTGTTTCGGTGGTGCCAAAGTGTTCTTTATCTTCAACATTATTTTTTAAGCGTCTAAACTCTAAACCTATCTCTGCATGTTGTTTGCGGCAGAGCATGGTCGCCGTAAGTCGCAACAAGAGTTTTGTATGCTCTAACTGCAGATTTCTTTTGAATAAAGTAGTGCAGGAAAATTTCCTTCAATTTTTTTTAGGCATGAAATTTGTCATGTTTAGCACAATAAAAAAAGTAGTTTTCACTTCGATGAAATAACATACACTTAATTTCAAACTTGCTTATAATACCTACTTCTTTATTGGTGCGTTGTTCGTAAACTATAGTAGGATCATATTCGATGCAAAGTAATAAATCATTGCCTGTCAAGAGATCCAGTGTCATACGCTTTTAAGGGTTTTAGAAATTGAATAATTTCTTTATACTTTATGAAGGGACGAAGGGATCAGTTCACGTCTGGCACCCATGTTCTTACAAAAATTCCTTTATTCTCATAAACTATTTATTTTAAATGTAATTTATTATAAATCCAATTTGTTTTTTTAATTCCACATATGTACTACATTTGACCTCTGTACGTGCCACTGTTGTTTACTTGTTTTTTGGAGGCGCTCTCTGATTTACGAACAGGCTCGCCAGGTTAGTATTTGACGTATAACCGACCCCTTCGTACACTCGATGCACCTGAGCGACTACAGCTACTACCAGAACACAGTGCGTATGCAGTGGTGTTTCAGATTTTACATTTAATTTCATTTCAAATTTGAAATGATTCATCTTACACCTCCTAAAAATGATGACACAATTTTCCTTTATAAAAAGACTGACAACTTTTTGCTCTACTTTGCATCGAATATGATCCTACTATACAGGCTTGCAGTTCTGGTAACGCCATCTGTTGGAAAGCAGCGAGAATTTATTCAACGTTCCTATACTTAGAAATTAAACAGTTACGCAGTCTGTATTCTTTTCCCACAAAGAGCAAAACATTAATTAAAAAAACCAACACCACCAACAAAAAGCTATGCAAAACAATATGTATAAATAGTGTTTGATACCTCCACTCACCTGTTAAAACAGGTTGCTACATCTAAAGAAATTAAAAAAAGTTTAAATCATCTATCAAATTAATAGGTTTATTAAACCCATCACAGAGACATTGAGACTCAAATGCATAATAAAAGAAATCGACTCTTACAGTTACCATACTGGGTAATTTTATTACTCGACAATGTTTATAGCCGATAATGAAAAATATACCTAATTTTAATTGTATATGTAACATGGTTAAATTATTTTTAAATATTTCAGTTTCTTACTAATGTGATTGATTTCACACATAAATATCAAACTCTATTTATAAACCCCGTTAGTAAACTCATTACATAAAGTAATTAATTACTAATAATTATTCATGTAAGTTTTAAAAAGTGTTAATAAAACACCTTTTTTACCAAGTAATGAGGCTACCAGGCACCATTTCCCACCACCAAGCAGTAAAACAAAGCCAAAATAAAAACGGAACATATAATAAGCAACGTAACAAGTTAACAACGCCAGTGAATAAAATACTAGTGATTGTTTAAATCAAGTGGCTTTGACACACAACGAGATATACTCAGGTCCAAAGCCTGGTCGATCTGCACGCAGCTCTGAGGATTTGTGAGCGGTAACTGGTTCTCTACTTCACCGTTCAGTGTCAGCACCAGATTCCTTACGAGAAAAAATACTCGAATCGCCCTTCTCGCACGTTCTACCTGCAAAAGTCATTACGAACTCTATAACTTGACGTATTATTTGATAATTTATAATAACTAATTTTAAAATAAAAAAAAATGTTTAATATGAAAGGGGGTATACAGGGTGGTCTTTAAGTATGTTATGATAATAAAGGAGGCGGTTTTTTAGATTTTATCACAAAAAATTTGTATGAACATACACTGTGGCCTTTAAAAACCAGAACACTCCCCTAAATTTCTTTGGGGGCACTCGAGCAGCATCCATGGCCTGCCGACGGTATTTTCTGAGTGATTATTTAAAAATCACTTTTTGACAAAAACTATGCTGATGCTGTCAGATTTAAAAAAAAATCCAAAAAAAATTTACAGAAGATTATAGATTACCAACTGGATTATCGTAATAATTTAGCAAGTACATTTTAGAAGACCACTAAACAGGGTTACAACTTTTTAATTGGCCTATATAGGTAACTTTCTTATTTTAAGAATTACAGAAATGGTTAAATGGGCAAAAATGTGCAGAACTTTATGGCGATCACAGATCCATGTTTAAATTTAGAAAATTCCGAGTTAAAAAGTATTAAAAATAAGAAATATTAAATTAATTTATAGAAAATATTCAAATGTTTCACATGGCTACCAGTGGCGGCTCGTCAGGTAACGCAAGTGACGCACCGCTTCACCTAAAATTTCCGTTTGGTTGTGCAATTTAAAATTATTTTTAATTTTATATAATTTTTATAATTTAGGTATAATTCAATATTGAAAATGTATTGTGTTTGTTTGTTTAATAAGCAGAAATAAACATAATAGTTGTGCGGTGAACGCCTTCTAAAAAAACATTGCCTTCATGAGCCCGAACATTAACCTCGCACCGTACAAAGTTTAGTATACGCAAGTGACGCAGATCGAAACAGTCTGAATTCCGCTTCTCTTCGAAGCGTTGTTTACGGAGGTTGTCATGGCAACGACACGGCCAACATAGGAGAAAATTACGGCGTGGGGAAATGAGTGACGCAGATATTGAAACATCATTCAGCATTGTCATCAGTATCACAGCATTGCCCATCGCCTCCCTTTAAACAGTTTATAGGATACACGTCGCCCAGTGCACGATTATATCTGTTCTTAGTTAATATTTGTTTGTATAATAATTGTAGAAATGTTTTCTATGTATGATCCAGTATGTATTTTATTGGAAACGTAATTTTCCAGGAGGAAAATTGAAGACAAAAAGGATTTTTTTAAATTGCGAGAGACCTGTGCCTTATTCTCTCGATATTGAAAAAAGTCAAAAGACAATGTGTACGTTCGGAAGTTTCGGAATGAATAGTATTCGGAGTGTAAGTGGTTGTGTGGAAGTGTTTATTTAAAAAAATTTTTCTGTATGCCATGTTTAATTGTGGATGTAAAGTCGGGCGTGTGGAATAAGGGGTGATATAACAATTTTGGAAAAGTCACGCAAGGCTGTCGTAATAACAAAACTTCTTTGGAACATACAAGTATGGTGTGCGTTAATGTTCGCAGAAGTCCACAAGCCGAACTAATATTTCTATTTTTTATAAAATCTAAATGAAAATCCTTCTCACGAACGTCAGTTTTTCGAAAATATTGCAATTGCAACTAAAAATTTTCAGATTCATTTAAAGACGTTTGACCTTGAACATTTTCATCTGCGGTGCTTTTTTTTTTCTTTTTAGTCAATTAATGAATAATATGCTTCACCTCTTCTCAATGTCACGAGCCGCCACTGATGGCTACTTGACTTTTTTATTAAAATTATAATTATATTCAATATCTTGGTTATTCATTTATGAAAACCCCATAAATTATACATCGTTGTAAAGAGAATTTACTCTTTCTTCTAATGAGATAAAAATTCAATCTCAACATTTTTAGAGATACTGACACCAAAAATCGATTCCTCACATCATTTAATATCAGACTACACATTTTTGTCCAAAAATTTTGAAAAAAAAGTGATATGACTAAAAAATGAAATAGCATAAAATCGTTTTCTTCAAATATCTTCGGAACTACAGTGAAAATCGGTTATAATGACCTTAAGGGACTATTTGTTCAAAAGATCTCGTGCGTTTCATTTTCAATTAATTATTGTTTTCGAATAGACTTTAGGCTTTTTTTCACGACTTTTTTTTTATCTTTGTTGTTATATGGTAGTTTACATCTTTTCACTCATTCATACTACACATATGTACTACAACATACGACTTCACTTGTGAAAAAAGCCTTTTATTTTATTTCCATCCTTTCAAATTATTGAAATCGTAGTGTGACAGGCCACATTCTTTTGCTTGCTTGCATTAGTTTCTCCGTTTTTGACTCCCTATTTTATATGCGATTTTTCTTCTTTATTAACACTTTTCTCTTCGACATCGTGATAAAAATTGGTAATTCATACATATAATATAACTGTATGCGTAGATAAGTCGTAATTTGTCCCAAACATACTAACTGGTGTCAAAGCGTGGATGCCGGACGGGGCAGGCGGAAGAGCAGTGCATTGGTTTTATGGCTGTATATCACTATTGATCGTTCTAACCGATAGATTCTATGGTAAATGTATATAAAAACGAGTCACTAAATCTGAAATGTCGTAGTAAATGATATTTTTAATATGGTATTTCCACGGGATTTAATCGGGACTTCCAAATTCCGTCGTTATATCCAATATGTCGTACAAGGCAATGTCGTTATAACCAATTTTCACAGTATTCACAATTTTCTAAATTTAAAAACGAATCTGTGATCGCCATAAAATTCTGCACATTTTTGTAACTATTAAAATAAGAAAGTTACCTGTATAGGCCAATTAAAAAGCTGTAATCCTGTATGCAAAAGAAAAAATCATTCAAATTGTGCACATAAATAAACAGATATACACGGGTCCCATTTTAAATAACGCATTGCAATATCTTCTTAGGGAAGCACGAAAAGTTTCATTAGTCTAAGTCAACCTTCTCAGCTATTTGTGTGGACATAATATTTTACAAAAAATTCAACACCACATATCTACGAGTAGATATTTAAGAAATAAGTAGAAACCTTAAAATCCAAAGGATCATCCCATTTATTATCAGAATATATTTAAAGACCACCCTACATCCTTACCTCACCACAAGGTAGTCTTTTAGTAAAGTCAATTCCCGTCATGGGAGTTCCAGTAGGCGGCAACAAGATTGCACTGTCCATACACAGCCATTCTACGTTTAAAGAACCCTTTGACATATCACAGTATCTGTAAGTGGTATTAGCAGAATTTAATACTTTCTTTAGGTAAACTTACAAATAATTTTTCAAATATAAAAAAGTGTGCTAATAGATTTCGTGCAGTTTTGTTCTTTTTTAAATAATTGTTTGATATCTAAAAAATTGTTATAGGACAAATATCTACAGTAAATGAAAAATTGAAATATAATAATTTAAATAAAAAATACAGGGTGTTGCAATATTTCACCCACAAAAGTGTTCCATAATTCTCCGACTAAAAATAAGAAGAGTACATATACTCACTCATGTTCAAACATATCTAAAAATATCTCTTCGCTTTTATAAAAATTCCTTAGCAACGCCGTACTTTGAGTCTTGGCAGTTTCTATTGTCGACCTATGAGATTCTAGTAGGATATTCTTCCCGTCGCACATAATTAGCTGCACGAAAAGTTTAAGGGCCAGCTCCAGTGTCACCAGTCTCACTCTACATGATGGTTGACAGGACAGTATTATGATATTTAGAATCTTTTCTATCAAAAATGTATTGTACGTGTATCGGACGTCTTTCGACGATGACATTGATTTTGATATGAACGACTTCTTTGGCCTGAGTACTTGCTCTGTAATATCTGAGGTAACACCTAAAAACAAAATATTTTTTCAATAAAAGTACTGAATTGTACATAGAAAAATATTCAATACAGTATACAGTGCGTGCCAGAAGTAACGCAAAAAATTCATATTTTATTTTGTGTTGTGTTTTCTTAAAAACATTAAAAGATGTCAATAATTAGTAAATAGGAATTGTCGCCTTGTCACGTTGCTTAAATCTTTTTTGCGCTACGTTTCATAAACCTATGAACAATGCCTAGCCGCTGTGATCGGGTGAACCTACCCTAATCCATTTTTTTTTTATTCAAATAATTCCGTACACTTACCTGGATTATTTGCCATCGCATACAATAAACTAAGAGCAAATAAGGCCGCATAATCATTCTCAGAACAGTCTAAAGCAGTATAAACCGTCTCGAGGAATGGATGATCTATCGAAGCTGCCCCTTCGGTCGGAGTAGTGGCCAGCCTTTGTTTCTCTTCGTCTGTGATATTCATATTCGGTTGTTCATCCAAGATATTCTCTTTAGAACTGCTACTGTCCCTTGAACTAACGTCACTGAGAGCTTGAGTGCTTGCTTCATCTTCCAAACTTTTTCCTTCCTTCTCTTTCTCGTAATACTCCAGCAGTTTATCAACGCCTTTCTCGAAGACCGACCTGTCAGTCTTCAAAATAATCCAAGATAGAGTTTGGATTAAAGGCGAGTGAGACAATATTAAAAACACTTGTGATAATAAAAACAAGGCAACAACACAGGAAACTTTGCCGGTGGAAAAGTCATGGACTTTGGGACTGTTATTTTCAGACCCCCTAGGGGTCACGGAAATCCTGCTAAGGCTTTGGGTAGCAGAGTCAATGGTAGACGACTGCCTTTGTGTCGAAGTTAAAGAATATATGTACAAAGGTATGAGCAATTTGTGTAGCAGGTGATCAGTCAGAACGTGGTTTAGATCAGTGATGTTTAAACAGAGGATGTCGTTGATGTAGTGCAAATGGTCCAAGTGTTCTGCAACTAGATCAGCCAGGCGATTTTGAGATTGGTGACTGAAAAAAACGACAAATTTAAATTGTATACAATGTGTTATAAAAAGTAGGTTAAACTGTTAACAAGAGATTCTTTGGCTGTTAATAACAGGACTTTCATCATGTCAAACAAAAGATTTGTATTAACAATTTTGCGTTTTAAAATATATTTAGTTGAAATTTTGCATCAATTTTAATCCCATACCAGCATTTTTTGTGAAATTTAGTTTAAAAAAAAATTATAAATGAGGATTGTAGCACCTCTCCAACATTTTTTAGTGCACACTTATGGTTCAAATATATAATTTTTTAGATCATTTCTGTAAAATTTCGACGTTCGGTTGCGAGAAATTGCAATTTCTTTGGATGTGATAGAAACTTTTTTGTTTGCCATGTATTGGCTTTGGAAAGGGATTTGGTTCTCTAAATTTAATTTTAGATATTGTGAATTTAAAATTTATATTTAAAGCTAGCTACATTCGAATAATGGAACTTTAATGATAGAATTAAATGTGCCAGAAAGTTTGTGGTTTTAGTTTAGTTTTGACAATTGCCAAATTGAAGCTATATATACAGTGTGTACAGATTTGATCCGGAACATCAGTGTAGAATTTTACAGGGTGGGACGATTTTAATGTCAATTTTTTTCAGAGTAGGGAGTTCATAGACATACGTATGGGGCGTATTGCTAAGGAGATAATGTTATCATGTGGCTTGCTATGATTTTTTAAATAATGATATGTTTTTGGAAAATCGTACTAGGGATTTTTTTATTAGAAATTTGACAACACTGCATTATTCAGTACCATTTAAAATAGAAATATCCAAAATTTCATTAATTTATTTTATTGCGCTTTTTTATAGAGCCTCAAATTCCCAAAAACTGAAAATTCTTATTTTAGTTTGAAAATATAGAGACCTTTTAGAAATGAGTAAAAACAATAAAATACAATTTGACAATATTATTTGTTTTTCACAGCAACCTTGATGAAGCAAGAAAAAATAAATTTATTTCCGAGTTATAAAAATTATGTTAGATAATTACCTAATTTTAAAATGTAATGGTACTCGTATTGTTTTTTCTTTCAGTTTTTGGGACTTTGAGGCTCTATAAAAAAAAACATGCAATGACATAAATTAATGAAATTTTGGGTAATTGGATTTTAAATACCCCCAATACTGTACTGCCTCAGCCCGAACCAGATTCAGACGTTTTGTCTCGAAAAATTAATCTTCAGTGTATTCGTTCCAAAATCTAAATTTTTTATTTAAATTCCTTTGTTTATTGAATTATCGTACACTGTAAGTATTGTTACACCCTGTCAAATCCATCTAGTTACTTAAACTATTACCACCATGCATTAAAATAAAACATTATTAGAGTTTTATCCCCGTGCCCATAGTTATTTCTAGGCCTCTCGAGTGCTCAAAATTCAAACAAATTGTGATCTATTTTTTTTTCAGGATTTTCATACAAATACATCTGATATGCTCTCTCACAGTTGCGGTTACAGATATAATAAATTCTGATAATATTACGCTGATCTTCATTTTCAATCTTTGCCAAAACAAAAATGTTTTTGAACATTTACTGAAATTTTTTAAAGAATAATATTCAGTTGACGTTTTGGTTGTTCATATGCATCTCTAAGAATTAATTTGTCATAATAAAATTAAAATTGAAATGTTTTAATTTTGACGCAACAACTTATTGAGTTATGTATGACCAAGTGATGGTAATAGTTAATAATAATAAATGTTTTATTGTAACGCGTGGTGGTAATAAATAGTTTCAATAACTAGATGGATTTCACAGGGAGTAACGACACTTACAGAATACGATAATTCAATAAACAAAGAAATCTAAATAAAATATTTAGATAAATTTGAAACGAATACACTGAAGATGAATTTTTCGAGACAAAACGTCTGAATCTGGTTCGGGCTGAGGCAGTACAGTAATGGGGATCATGAAGGCTTGCAAAAAATTTAATAAAATTGCTAGGGTAGTATTTAAAAAAAATGAAATTGATGATGGTCCTGGAGAGATGAAATGTTACATATAAAAATTGATTATGCCATTCGATAGAGGGCAAAAAGTGGCCATGAGAAAGTGTTCTTCTTTTTTCAATATCACCTCAAATAAGGCTGAAATGAAACAAAAACGGATTTCCAAAATTTCGTTTTTTTTTTTCAAAATATGTATTTCGAAAACTAATCATGTTAGATAAGGAACATGGTACACCTAACATTGAAAAAGACAGAGAATAAAGTAAAAGTAAACAATAGATGCACGGAAGAGTTCGAAGTTAAAAACGGCGTCTGACAAGGGGATCCATTAGCAGCAGTGTTATTTAGTTTAGTGCTAGAAAAAGTCATAAGAGATGCAGGATTAATAGATCAGGCCTTATTTACTATAAAAGACATCAGTGTTTGGCAATTGCGGATGATCCTGTAGTGTTAGCAAGAAATAAAGCAGAATTGAAAGAGGTAATAAGGAGAATAGATGAGCAGTCAGTTAAAAGGGGACTATATATTAATGAGACAAAAACTAAGTACATGGAATGATCGGAAGAAGAATATCAAAAATACAAGTTTCTGAAAGTAAATACAAACAGAGGGAAAACATACAGATTTGAGGAAGTTGAACATTTCACATATTTAGGCACCTTATTTAGAAGAAGACCGAAAATAGAGGAAGAAATCGAAGCCAGAATAATGTTAGGAAACAAAAGTGTAGCGGGGTTGCAGAGAATACTGAGAAACAAAAACGTTTCTAGACAAACAAAGATAAGGCTGTACAAGACAGTGATAAGACCAGTNAACAGGGCTGAAATGAAGCAAAATCGGATTTCAAAAATTTCGTTTTTTTTTCAAATATTTCGAAAACAATCATATCAGCCTTGATTTTTTAGAGGCACAATATTGGCCCCTTGATTATGCAACTTTTCACCCATTTAAGCTACTTCGTACCTCTTACCGTTTCCGAGATCCCTGAAGTGAGAAGCAAATTTGTAACAGTCTGTATATCGCACATGATGGAATTACTAATGTTATGTATAAAAGCAAGATATTTTCAATTAAACAATTAATTTTATCAACAAGATTTCGGAATCAATGGGATTTTTATTGTCATTAATTTTAAATATTTTTATCAATGGATTTTTTTTGAAGAAAATTATTTGATTTGATTAGACATTTTTGCAATTTGGCTTTTTACCAACGAGAAATTAAATATTTTTCTAAATAATATTAATACTAAGGAACCAACAATTAAATTTACATTGGAAGTAGAAAACCATAATACATTAACCTTTCTAGATATTTTAATTAAAAAATAGCTATACTTTAGGAAACCAACTCACAATAACAGATATCTAAATTTTAATTCGAACAATCATATTTATATAAGGAACAGTGTAAATAAATGTTTGTACGATGGAGCCAAATTTATTTCTTCAAAAGATTAAATTTTTAATAATGAATTTTAAAAAATTATTTAAAAAAATATATTTTATTAGTAAAAAATAAAAAAATGTATTAAACAAACAATGAATAGTTTTTGAGAATATTGAAAGTAAAACAAATTTTGTTAGACAACAAAAGGAAATTACATCCACAATAAAAATTGCATACGAGTATTTCTGTATTATTGAAAAAATTAAGGATGGGTAACAAGGACTTTTTTGTCAAATACGCTCACAAATAATGTTCAAGATTCAAAAAATTGCATTTATAGCATACCTTGTGAATGCAATAAACATGATGTTGGAGAGACCTCTTGACCTGTAAAAATTAGAATAAACAAGAACAAAGGTTACATTAAAAAAAGGGAATTTGAGAAATCATATAATTCAATGGTGCTCGACCAAAATGTTTGGGGAAGGAAAATAATAGTTAAAAGAAAATTAAAAGCAACCGCGATTATTTTCGTGAATGGTGACAGATGTGTTTCAAATTACTCTTTGCATTTATATTCTATATATTTTAAATACTAAAAAAAATACCCAATAAGAAAAAAAAAACGAAAATTATGCCACAAATCACTGCAGGCAATAAGATGCAATATCTCGTAAAACAAATCTCTAGTGAAAAAAATAAAAAAAAAAACAAACTAAAAGAAACAATGCTTGCTAAATAACATCATACACTGCAATAAAATGTCAATATGAAGTACAACTGTCCTTTTCTTTACTTACTGCAATTTTTTAAACAAAATTACACAAAAAATGTTATGACAAAGGAAAAAGTCTATACAAAATAAGATGCAATATCTCGTAAAACAAGTCTCTAGTGAAAAAAAAAAAAGAAACAATGCTTGCTAAATAACATCATACGCAGTGCAATAACGTGTCAATATGAAGTACAACTGTCCTTTTCTTTTTTTGCTGCAAATTTTTTAAACAAAATTACACAAAAAATGTTATGACAAAGGAAAATGTCTATTCAAAATTTCAGTAAAAAATGAATGTTGTTAATAATTTTATTTTGAAATTGTAGATTTGTCAACCTGAATTTTGAAAAAGAGGTAATTTTTTTATATATATTTTCATGTCAAATTATGATGCTAAATTGACAGTGTCAACAAAGGCCAACAGTAGCAGTCTATCCTAGGTTTAATCTTACTGAAATGCTAATGCAAACATCTCACTCTCGACGAATCTTAAGCTGAAATGTCTAGAGACCATAGTGTACATTGTCTTCACGGGAGCTAGTAAAATAATTATGTGTAAACTTCCACAAACTACACTTAAAATACTTGTGTTTATTTTCTTTGGATAAAATGATTAAAAACTAAAAAAGGACAAAATACAAATTAAAAATTTCATGCATATCTTGTGAAAATTATGACTTAAATAATGTCAAATGATATTTTACAAAGTTAAAATACACTAAGTCATACCAAGATATGTAGACTATTTACTGTGTAGGAAGTAGTAATGGGAGAACTCGATTGAATAATCGAGAACTACGCGATTCTTAAAAGTACTCGCTGTTCTCGGATACTTGCTGAAAGAACTTGAATACTTTTAGTTGTCGATAATTATCAGGCTACCTAGCAGATATCATGTGAAATGCGAGTTCTCGAGTGCGGAAAATATTTGAATACCTTTAGTTCTCGGTACTTATCAAACAGCATTCACTTGAAGAAACGGATGACTTGTTTCAAATGTTGGTTGGAATTTAAATTCAGTCCAATATTTCTCGCACTAGAAAACTCAAGTCGCATGATATTTGCTAGGTACCCTGACAATTGTAGAGAACTAAAAGTACTCGAGTACTTTCAGCAAGTAGGTACTTTTAAGAATCGGGTAGTGTTTGATTTCGCATTTGAGTTCTCCTGTCACTAGTAGACATTATGTTTTATTACGGTTAACTCTTTCTAGCACTTACTCAGCATCATTTCTTACACAAGTGTCTAACTCTTGGATATGTTTGCCTATAAACCAGACAATATTAGAGAAATATGGTGCGGCTGTTCTATCTCTAATAAAAGCTAACATGCTAGCATCTTCCACTTTATAAACATTTAAAGTCAATGTCCTAACAGCTATCCTAACCATAGATTCTGGATGGTTAAAAAACTTTATAGCTTCTGTGTATAATGGAAAGTCATTTGTATGCTGAAAAGATAGAAGATAAAACACCAGAATTAGAAATTTATTTTATGTAACTTACTTCGTTATAAAAGAAATGTATCGTATGAGCATTTAACTTTAAACTGAGAGTTTTAAGGAATGAAATGTAGTAAGCCATCACCTCTTCATCAGAAAAATCGAATTTGTGTACTATTATGGAATTTACGTGATTATTGGACAGTAAATAATCTGGAAATTTAAAACATATAAAATTTGTCTGGTTCTGGACCTATGTATAACTTACATAAAGAAGTTTCATTTCTAATGTTTTCAAATAATATATTGAGGGTTTGTAATAACTGCACACAGACGAAACTAGATCCACCACTTCTTTGTCTCATAATTCGAAGAAAAAAAGATAACATGTTCTTCTCAAGGAAAAAGCTAAAAAATTATTATTAAAAATGTATACAATAGAAACATTTGGACGATAAGTAATACAGCAAATTAAAAATTTTTTTGGGATATTTTATTAATTTTTAACACTTATTGTTTTCAAATATGGCATTTCTATTTAAAAAAATATACTCTATTATATATTAAAATGTAAATGTAGTTCCTTTTGTTAATGTAGACATGTTTAAATATATCTAATAAACTATAAATAAAGTTAACAAAATTAATATGTATAAAATAAACTTTTTTCCATCAATGATGATAGTCTTACACAATTATGTACATATACAAGAGCCGTGTATTATTAAATACATTGTTTACAAAGTTGTCTGACTATGGAATTATTAAAATATATCAGAAATTCAATAACATTTTAACGACTCAAATGGTTTTAATCTCTTTTGTTCTGACTAATAAGAGTAATTAATATTAATAATATAAAAACCATATAAAAGCACAATTATTTTTATTTTTGATAACACGAGAAAAGTAGTGTACAACTAGAGCATAGACTTTTATAAGAACTATGAACTGGTGCAATATGAGAAGTACGAAACTTTAATACTAAATTGATAAAAATGATAGATTAGGAACAATTTTTATAAAAAATTGAATGTCTAATGGAACCATTGATGGTTTTTTAGGACATTTATTTTAAAAATTGTGTATTTTGTTAAGCATCTTCATGTTTTGGAAATTAACTGTGATCAGCACATTTCTGCAATGCACCCATATATTTGATTAACGAAACCACTTTAAAGGTGTCATTGTTATTACTTAACTTACTCAAAAACAGAAGAATCATTCTGATCTCCCCAAATCAATATTTCCGCTATTGACCTCAATGATTCGACCAATAGTCCTCGATTATGTTCAGAAACTGTCTGATTTCTAGAAAGAACATTGTACAGGTACTTTAAATGTTCTAAGGAATGTAAATTTTTTGGACGACCCCAACCACCAGCAAACCAACTCCTACTTCTGAACATTTTTTGCATTAATTATTTTCTTTGTCAGGGCAATATAAACATTTTGTTGAAAATTACTATTCGGTTTGTGTATCTATGATACTTTACTGACTTTATGGGACTGAGATTTTGTACTTTATTTTCACTCTTTATTGCGTTTATTTATTACACCCATAACAGTATAATATTTGATGGTCACATTTAAACGTCAAAACATTTGTCAAGCTGTCAAGATCGAGATGTCAAGAACAAAATTATTCCTTCTATTCTTAGAGCATAAGGTACATGGTGGAAAACCCTTATGGCAACGGTGTAGACGAGTGATAGAGAGAGACATAGAAAGTTTTGGAACTATCTTTCTCTCTTGCATAGGTAGGTAATTGGCTAATGCAACTCCCTCTGCTCTCTAGAATCTAGAATAGGTTATGATTGCTCAGTACGATTAGAGAGAGAGAGACCGTATCCAAACTATCGCCTATTCTCTCTACGGCATCTACACTTTTTAACATGCCGTGCTTTCTCCATGTAGTATATGCTGTAAAGTCCATTTCACCATCAAGGTTTTTTTCAAAAACCTTGTTCCTTGTTTCATGTCCGTTTTTGTGTATTTTAATCTATGACGTCTATTTGAACTGCTTTAGTACGGAGATTATAGAAGGACCGCGCATACAAATTCTGTTTCCGTTTTATGACCCAAATTAATGTTTAAGAAGTCGCCGTTGTAGCGCTGATGCACTAGATGAAGATCTAGTATAGCGCGCGCCATTATTCTATGGCTAGAAATTGGCCTCAATGATTTGGGATCGAGGGGGATTATCCCTCTTTATCCTGCCTCATCTCGTGTAGGCCTGGACAGCCTTCGTAGGTGGGCCCCATCCGTCGTCTACCCCGACCGCAAATGCGGCCGGTGTAGGCGCTTTGTGGGACCTCCTTTTGTCCTGGCTGGGCCCCGCCGGCTAGGGCCCTTTCTTCTGGCGCTCTTCTTGCTTCGCCGGCTCGTCTGTGTAAACCCCGGGGGTAGTGTCATGTTTATGTGTGGTATGGTTGGGTAGGGTAGTGCGGCTATGCAGCCTGGGATGCGCTTTGCTAAGG